GGGGGAGGGGGAGGAGATCGTGGAGGGAAGGGTGGGTAATTCTCAAATTGTAGAACCATTTCTGTTTCAGATTTCATACAGGGGGCATGAATTCTAAATCGCTGTTAATCAAGTTACATGAAGTCACTTTCACAACTTTTTTATTTCTTACTTGAAATCGCGTCAAATTTGCCTTCAATAACAAAATTTATTCATTTTACAAATGAAACATGCTGCCTGGATCTGTTCACTAAAAACACTTCACCCCTTTAAATTCGTCACGGACAACTTCTTGAGCTCCTTGAAATAAAGCTTAGACTGATTTTTCTCAAAGAGAAACGAAAAATTAAAACCTCGTAGATTCAGCCAGCCTTTGATGAGCCGCATCAATAAGAGAACAGATACAAGCACGAGGTCATAGTCGAAACAAAAGCGTCGATCTTCTGTGTTGTGTTTTTGTTATTATTATCATGCAAACTTGCGTTCTTTGTTCTGACGAGTTAATAACGGGATAGGACGTATTACTGTAACAAAAAGATTTAATCGCTGCCTGGTTCTTTCTCTCAGTACAGCATGCAAGTTTGCTTTTTAACACACAACATCGTAGTTTGGAAGTACCCTGATACAAAACTATACAATAGCTGAGTACTTATGAATTAATTTTCGCTGGTCTTGTTCAACATAATTAACTTGGTGTCACATCCAATGACCCGTATAGACGTTGCTATTTGCTATCACAGAAACTCTGTTCTTCATCTGTAGTTCTCTCGATTTCCTTTCTGGTTATTATTGATCAGATCGAAATCATTGTATTTTGAAAAACTTGGCAAGACGTCAACTTTGGTCTAAACGCATCGGTTTTGGGAATAAAGTAGAACATTCTACTTCTTTTGATGATATTTTCAGTTTGCAACTTCAATCTTACTTTACAAACTTCTGAAAGGAAGTGAGTTCAGCCGTTCGAATTTCTCACAACTTCCGTTTCACGAAGTATACTAAAAGCGGATCAGAAGGAGGTAAAATGGACTGGATGTTATTAATTGTAAATTTTATCAAACTTGAATCGACGTGACCTTACCACTGTTAAAGAATGCTGGGCTCTGTCACGCTATCATTGAATTTGTTAACCTCCTCACTGGAAACCTCTCTCACAGTGTAATTCGACATACAAGTCGACATACAAGTCTCACCACATAAGGCGATCCCAAGAGCGGCTGCTGTGTTCATAGCCACCTCTAAAAAACGGCAAAATAATTTTTTTCGCTTTGCACTCCCTACTTTGTGGCGTAGAAAAAGAACTGTTGAATCAAATTGTGTGCATCCACTGCATGTCAAGCACATAAGGCGATCCCAAGAGCGGCTGCTGTGTTCATAGCCACCCCTAAAAAACGGCAAAAATAATTTTTTACGCTTAGCACTCCCTACTTTGTGGCGTAGAAAAAGAACTGTTGAATCAAATTGTGTGCATCCACTGCATGTCAAGTTATAAAATATAATCCAGAGTGACAGAGGCAGTGGAGCGCTTTGAAATGTGGGCTTATCACTCTCGTTATACTAAGCCAAGTGCATACCCCTACCCTTATTGTCAAAAAATATTTCTAATGACTGCTTTTTAAACACAGACCGGAGCTTTTCATATGAAAGGAGTCCTACCACATACATTCTTGACAAGCGCAGTCCTGATGAAACGCTTTGAAAAGACTTCAAGACTGAATATTTTTCCAAACTAATTTTATCCTGCGCTGACAACATTGTCGGCAATGAAACGTGGAGGACTAAGTCCCCCTGAATTTTTGCATAGAGAGGCTGAACATTTACCCCCTCCCCCTGTTCCCCATGCCAGCCTGCTCCGCCGCCTACGGACTAGGCCCATACAGTTTGTGCTCGCAAAAGTAGCATATTATGCCACGATTGCCCGCTTTTTTCCGAATTATGCTTAAAATTAGGCTCATTTTTAACTTGCATAATTACGCAGTCATTAATCCGAGATAAAGGTATGGATGGAACACGGCACTCCTTCCTTCCGTCCTTCCGTCGTTTCCTGTTAACTTTTCTAAATCCGCTGACCAGTATATAAAGCGTTGGCAGTTGCATGCATTAAAGTCGAAAAAAGTTTATCCACGGAGTGATTTATTTCAGTTGCAATGTTTCCGATTCGTGGATTGTTTATATACGATCGACAGCGGTTGATTTTTAGCTTGAAGTTCTCACTGTAAAACTAATTCAATGTTGTTCAATGGAAGTAATGTCCTATCAGTGATCGACCTGAACATATTACCGTTACCAGGACACATACAAGTCGCATTTAAGCTACGATTGTAAGAGAAAGACTTCAAGGTTCTTCCTCCCCGATTCGATTGTAAGGAAAAGTCGTCAACGTTTTTCCTTCCACTTTTCATCATTGAAGAAGATGTCACAATGCAACTTTAATAAAACTCTTATAAAAGTGTTCGAGTGCTTTAAAAAGAAAAGTATAAAAGAAAAGGTATTGTAAAAATTTACCCGGAAGTGGACCCCCTGAGCTATGAATTAATAGAAATGAATCCATTCCAGCCTTTCATTAACCATTATCCGAGTTCAGTAGCTCACAGCCACTTTGATTCTTACTCGTAACACTCATGTATGATAAAAGCGCCTTTGAAAAAAACATTTTTGATATTTACTTTGCTTGATGAACTAATCGCGTTAGTCACAATTTGCTCGGCTTGTTTGCTCAACTAATGACTGAAAAAAAATTGAGCTATTGACGTTTTTTTTAACATCTAAACTCTCATAAAGAGTCTGTCTTTTCTCAGGTTATTAAACTTAGATGTCCAATAAGCTGTTTACAGAAATGCTTTTCTATTTGAATCGATCCGAGTTGTCCTTCGCAGATGGCTAGCAATTGAATAGTTACGAGCTTTGCTAGGTTTAGTTCATTCCGCTCCAGAAGTTTTATTAAACTCAAGGCTCTTGAGGTGCGGTGGGCACTGGCCAATTGGCAAAATCAAATGTCACATCGTCACCTATGAGCATAAAGGGTGCCCATTGAGAAACTTTGTCATAGCCGTTGTTACGCATCCAATTCCTGGCCATGTGGAGGGATTCACTGGCACTTTCACCGCAGAACAAATGTTTGTAGAAACAAGTCATGAACTGCTCTGTGGCTGTGTCATCCAGGGCCCATCGTGCTGCTAACACTGACCGAGCACCGGATCCTAAGAACGCTCGGGCGATTCCTATAACTCCCTCGGTTCTAATCTGTCCACGCGCACTGTGGCAACAACTTAGTACCACTAGTTTAGCTCGCAGCCGAGTTTTTGAAATATCCGCCATCGTCAAAAGGTAATCTTCTTCTCGAGGAAAAGGTGGGAGTGAAGTAGGGTGCTCAGGAGAAAGAGCAATCTCCCCTCTTTCGGCATCACCATGGGCAGCAATGTGTATCAGGCTCACTGAATTCATCGCTTGGAGTACAGCATGCTTTGTCGCAGAATCTCCAATCAAAGGCGTTACGCCAAGAAGTCTTCCAATCACTTCTGCTTCATTCCTTGCACACAGCAATGGTGTTATGGTTCTGCGCCTTCCCTTGTAAATTACAGCTCCAACCTCAGGGTCACCCACTATCAGCGCCCCTGTCTGACTGTGGTAGTCTGGAGGACTGTTTTGAATGCACTTGAGAGTCGTCAGAGAAGGAACCATCCGAATTCTGCATGTCTCTGATAAACACTTGCCTCCTTCGTCAGCCAAGGCTGCAAATGGCACTTGGTACACACAGGAGTCAGGGAAAATAATGATCTCGGGCTGCTTCAGTAAACTGGCCACAGGAGCGATGAGTATCTTGTAACACAAGTGCAGATTTGTTTTGAAATCCTCTGCATCGCGGTCACGCAGGACTGCGCGGTTGTAGTAGTGAAGTGGCATCAGTTCGGTGTCATCCAGAGATCGATCCTCGCAATCCTGTTCGGGTAAAATGGCGAGGCTGCGGAAGCTCTCCTCAAAAAACTCATCTAAATCAGGGACTAATCCAGTCACAGCGTTTGCTTCAAGGTTCACTGTCTTTTCTGAAAAATGAATAGTTCCCATTGCTTTGAGAATCCAAAACCGTACACCATTTTCACCAACGGATATGTACAGGCATGTGAAGTCTGCTTCCGCTCTGATAATCTCCTGAATGCCACGCCAAGATTGTGGATTACCTGAAATCTTCTCTTGAAGAGAGTATCGAGTGGCCATCAAGTCGGCTAGGCCTCTTGCCCGTCTCAGCTCTTCAAC